CACTCCGCCTGTGACAGGAGCCGGCTCTATAGCGGAGGCATCGGCTTATGCGGCTCTGCTCCCTCCGCTGCCGCCTCGCTTCCTCTAGGGCTGGCATCGTTGGCACCGCTGATTCTCTCCTGCCTCTCCCGCGGCTCTTCAAGTTCCCCTTTATGCCACCACTGGCCCTGGGAATGGTCACAACTAGGTCTTATTTTCGGGGTAGGTCTTATATTTTAGCAATTCCCAAAAATAGTACTAGGTCTTATTATCAGGGTATTATCAGGGTCTTATTTTCGGGGAAACAGGGTAGTCAAAGATAACACAAGTAAACACAACATGCAGTTTTTAAAGGGATGTTTTTATTATTAAGGGAAAACAAAATCCAAACCCACATGGCCCTAAGTAGAGTGTTTTAAAACGTACTGTATATAGTCTATTATTATGTGTGTTTCTTGTTTGATGTAGGAAAGTTTAAATTGCTGATAAGTTCTGCCTTTCAAGCCATCACCATTGCTTGCTTCTCATACTACCCAATATCTGCAAAGTTTTCATGACAGCTACCTTCACCTCCTTGTTCCGAAGACAGTATATGATGGGGTTCATGAGAGGGGTAACTACACAGTAGAAGACAGAAATGACTTTGTCCCTTTCAAAGCGGATGTGGGAAGTGGGTCGAATGTACATGAAGATCACAGTCCCATAAAAGATGGACACCACCACCAAGTAGGATGCACATGTACTAAAAGCCTTCTTCTGCCCTTCAGTTGCTGGGATATTTAGGACAGCAAGAACGATGCAGGTGTAGGATATCATGATCAGAAAGAAACAGCCCAAGATAACACTCCATGACATCACCATGAAGGCAAACTCAACATCTGAAGTGTCCTCACAAGAAAGCTTCAGCAGAGGGGCATAATCACAAAAGAAGTGATCTATAGAATTGGGAAAGCAAAACCTCAAGGTAGAGATCCAGACAGCAGGTGGAAAGGCAGCCAGTAGACCACCTACCCAAGCGCCAAGTGCTAGTTTCCAACTGGTCTTATCAGTCATCAGAGTTGGATAATGCAAAGGTCTACAGATGGCCACATAACGGTCATAAGACATCACGGCAAGAATACAGTTCTCAACAGCTCCAAAGCCGAACAGGAAATAAAACTGCGCCAAGCATGATGAAGAAGGAATCTCTTTGTGTCGGGTCAACAATGCATTGAGCATGTTAGCAACAGTCACGGTGATGTAAAAGACCTCTAGCATGGAAAAGTTGGAAAGAAGTATGTACATGGGTTTGTGGAGATGGCGGTCCACTGCCACTAGTGTGACAACCAGAAAATGGGATCCGATTGTGAGGACATACATGCTGGGTTTCAAACCCAACAATGATGAAAGAGGCAGTGATACTGCAGTTCCCATTAGCAGTTGACATTATCCTTGGTGAACAGACATTGTACAGCAAAAGTTGATATTTTAATCATAAATTTGATTTAAAACTTTCAGTTCACCCAATTTCATTGTTTGGAAGAGTTAAACTCCCTTACCACCTCTTCCATTGTTTGAGGACTCGATTGGTGTGATCACTTTGCTGAGTTCCTGGGTCTGCACAACTGCTCTGCCCATTAGTAGAGACACCCACCAACCCTGTTGGATTTTATATTTATTTTTATTATAGAGAATGTAACAGAAAGAACTGGAACACACATAGGTGGCCAGAAAGTATGGCAGAAATATCTCACTTAAACCATATCCAATACATAAGTAACTAAGGCTCCTTTTTTTTAGTGGTCCTAACTTGGCTTTGTATATTCTTATGATTTGTAAATAAGATGATATCAGAGGAATGTGTTTCTATTAAGATGGAAAACATGTGTACTTGATAACTATTCAAGAAAAAGCCACCTCTTTGCCTCTGCCACCTATAGGCACACGGTTTCTGTCGGGAGCATTAACACAGCAGTTTTGTTTTCCCCCTGTAACATAGTTTTATTACCTATTGATCCTGTCAATAGACCAGTTATATTTCACTTCCTATAATAGAGTGAAACTGCTGTTTATTCTGCGGTGAAATCACACAGCAGCGCTGTCATTTTGTGGACAGGGTACTCTTAGATGGACAGGTAGTTTTTAACGGAAGTAAAACACAATGAGGAAACTGTGTATAAAGAACATAAAAATGAATATGGGAAAAGATGTTCTATATAGTAGTCAACATACAGGGGCTCTAAGAGCTGATGTACTGTATCTATATAGGATGCCAGTCCTTAATACAGGAGACATCTGACCGCCCTATATCAGGATCATCCATGCCCTAATATGCAGCACCAGCCCGTGTTATCCCATTGGCTACTCACAAATGAGCTCCTTGGTGACCCCGATCTACCTGCAATGTTGCAGTTTTCAAATCCACAAACTTTTTAGTACATGTTAACCCCACCTGGAAAATTCTGTGTGTTCAAGATTCATGGACACAGAGATCTAATGCAAGAATTCACTTAGTTGGATTCTTTTCAACCATAATGCCCTGCATGACCTTTGAACTTAGGCCATCTGGCTTAGAAGGACCATAACTTTGTTATGTGACAGTCCCCTCACTATAAAAGGGCGGATTCCCATCAGCCAGTTGTCAATGTGTGTTGGAGTAGTTTAGGGGCTGCTGGCAGCCTGTGCTGCTGTACCCCCCTTGCAATCTTTTTCCAGGGGGTTATTTTTTTTCACATGGCAAAGCTGCCCTTTGTTTGTAGAACCTCTCTACATACAGTACTTGTGTGGTAAATGTAATGTACTGAACTTGTTTGCTTTCATTGGAACTTGTCCAGCAGACTGCATCGCCCTTCCTTTACTTGTGGAACCCCACTTGGAGGGTAAGCGCTCAAGTTTCAAAGGGCCCCATCGCTGGTGGACTGTTACATCTGCTACCTGACTGGCCAGTGGTTAGATAGGATTAGTGGTATGTAGACCACACTGCTAATTGCATTTCCTTGTATTCTCCTCCAAGAACATTTACTACTGTGGCTGTTTTATTCTATTCAGCAGGTTAGGTCCTCTCCCTAGTGTGCTTTGGCAAGACAATACATAGGCGCTAATAAGTGAACTTGTGTCATTTACTTTATTGTAGCTTTGCCTCTGTGGTTTCTGACAGATTCACTCTGTCATTGTTGAAACTGTTTATTCAGCACTTATCTTTTACGAGGCAGGTTTTATCTTTAAATATGAATCAGACTGGATTATTTGAGAGACAATAGCCACAAATATTGTACAGTGTGTAGTAATGACTCCCTAAGGAGCTGCTGGAAAATATGGGTTATTCTGCCTATTGCTGCTTATGTAAAGCTTATTCAATCACTACTGGGGTGTCAGTTAAGGGTGGGTCACCACTTGGAGAGGCAGAAAACCCATCATTACCAGCAACGCGTTAGGGAGTCAGTGCTGCACACTGTACAATATTTGCAGCCATTGTCTCGAAAATAACCAACTCTAATTAATATTTCAAGATAAAACCTGCCTTGTCCCTCTATCTTACATTGTGGCCTAACCAAGCTGCTTACATACTGTCCAGATAGTATACCACACAATATTTGTGGCTATTATCTCCCATATCATACACTAGAATGTTTATTTCAAGATAAAACCTACCTCTCTTCTTCCTTTTACACTGCGGTCCTAACAAGTTGCTTTAATACTATCCAGCCACAGTATAATATTTGTTGCTATTGTCCCTCAAATACTACAATGTAATTTCTATTTCAAGATAAAACCCGCCTTGTCTCTCTCTCTCCTATATTGCAGCCTAACCACGCTGCTTACATACTGTCGAGCCACTGTCCAGTATTTTTGGGGTTATTGTCTCTCAGATAATACACTCTAATTTTGCTAATTATTTATTTCCTATGCTCCTTAGCTCCATCTAGTAGCCGTAATATATTATTACAACAACACACTACATTCCAACTGGAAAACTACCGCTAGTGGACATAATTGTATTATTACAACACTACATTTGAACTGGGGAAAAATATATGAAGAACCATTTTTGGCATTATTCTCCCAACACTAACAATCACAGATATTCATAGGGTGAAAGGCCCTGCAAATTGTTCATAAATTGAACCATTTGTGACTTTTTTTAGTTGTGCAAATACCATGAAAGAATTTTAACTTCTGTCAGACTTTTACTGCTGTCTCTGGTCAGGAGAATCGCTCTCACCCTCTTGACCACACTATTATCCTGGTGACCATTAACTCCAGTACAGAAAGTCACGGGAAGTCCAGAATTTTTAAGTTGTCAAGAGAACAAGAAGTGAGGAGAAATCTTCCACCTTTTCTGGTGGCAACCGTCTGTGAGGGGACTTTTCCTGGCTTTGGAGAGATCTTCTTTTACTTCCCGCCATGTCTTAGGTACTGGAAGCGAAGGGAAAAAGTGTTGGCTTTAGATACACTTTACATGCAAAATTTTTATGTTTGACTTTAGTGTTTAAAGATGAACTCCAGGCTTATATTCAGTCTTGCACAGTTGTACCGGCTCTTCTCCTGTACTGAAATTGCTTACTCTGATTTCACTGCACACTGTGAGCCTCTCCTTGTATCAAAGCTCAAAGTTCTTGAGATGAGTTCTAAGGAAGAGTTCTGTGATGTTTTCAGGAAGCTATACACAGCACCCTGCCAGCCCCTCCCTCTTTCTATGATCTGCTTGCATTCCATAGAGAGTCATAGAGACCCAGTGATGGTGTTTGTAAAAATGGAAACACGAGGGTAGAAAAGATTAACCAGAGAAGGCAAAAATAAGCAGAATAAACTTCAGCTTTGATGTAAACATTTTAATGTGAAGGGTTAGATGATACTATTCTCCAACATAAAATATATACACAACAGTATTAATCAGTATTTTTGTATTGGCCTTTTTGGCTTGTTAGAGTTTTCTTGGTCTGTAGGATGAGCCAGAATTCTGCCTTAAGTAGAGTGTTTTAAAATAAGTATTCTATGGAATGTGTGTTTCTGTGAGGTATGTGAGATGCAGGACATTAAAATCAGTCTTTGATGCTGATGCATTCTACCATCCGAACCCTCAACATCGACTGGTTCTCATATTTTTCCAACATCTTCAAAGTTTTCATGACAGCTACCTTCACCTCCTGGTTCCGAAGACAGTATATGATGGGGTTCATGAGAGGGGTAACTACACAGTAGAAGACAGAAATGACTTTGTCCCTTTCAAAGCGGATGTGGGAAGTGGGTCGAATGTACATGAAGATCACAGTCCCATAGAAGATGGACACCACGGCTAGGTGGGATGCACATGTACTAAAAGCCTTCTTCTGCCCTTCAGTCGATGGGATCTTTAGGACAGCAAGAACGATGCAGGTGTAGGATATCATGATGAGAAAGAAACAGCCCAAGATAACACTCCATGACATGACCATGAAGGCAAACTCACCATCTGAAGTGTCCTCACAGGAAAGCTTCAGCAGAGGGGCATAATCGCAAAAGAAGTGATCTATAAAATTGGGAAAGCAAAACCTCAAGGTAGAGATCCAGACGGCAGGTGGAAAGGCAGCCAGTAGACCACCTACACAAGCGCCAAGTGCTAGTTTCAAGCTAGTCATACTAGTCATCAGAGTTGGATAATGCAATGGTCTACAGATGGCCACGTAGCGGTCATAAGCCATCACGGCAAGAAGACAGTTTTCTGCAGCCCCAAAGCCGAAAAGGAAATAAAACTGCGCCAAGCACGATGAAGAAGAAATCTCTTTGTGTCGGGTCAACAATGCGTTGAGCATGTTGGGAACAGTCACAGTAGTGTACAAGACCTCCAGTAAGGAGAAGCTGGCCAGAAGTATGTACATGGGTTTGTGGAGATGGCGGTCCACTGCCACTAGTGTGACGACCAGAAAATGGGCTCCGATTGTGAGGACATACATGCTGGAGAAGAGGGAGAAGAGAAACAGCTCCACCTCTCGCAGGGTTTCAAACCCAACAATAATGAAAGAGGCAGCAATACTGCGGTTCCCATTGTCAGTTTTTGACATTATCCTTGGGAAACAGACATTGTAAAGTAAAAATTTTATATTTTAATCACATTTTTTATTTAAAATTTCAGTACACTCAGTTTTAGTGTTTGGTAGATGCTGGTGGGTTAAACCTGTTAGACTATTGTATCTTTTGAGGACTCTACTGGTGAGATCTTTGCCCTGAGTTCACCTTCTGTGCCAGTTATGAGGAGCTCCCACCATCCTTGTTGGGTTTTATATTTATTTGATATTATATGAAATGTTACAGGAGGAGTTGGAATACACAACGGTGGCCAGGAGCACCCGACACACCCAAGTGGACAGGAAACAAGTTGGATATTGTGGCAGGGAGATCTCATTGTTGAAGCATCTGAGATAAATATGAAGCTAGGGCTTGTTTCTTCTACTGGTCCTAGCTCGGCATTGTTTATTGTAATGATTTGTAAATAAGATGACATGAGAGGAATGTATTTCTAATAAAGATGGGAAAAAATGTGTTCTTGATAACTATTCAAGGTAAAGCCACCTATAGGCATACGTCTGCTGTGCCTATTGATAAATATTGGTCGCCTTTGCCAAGGTACTTACTGTGGCACCTAAAATTGATGTTTAACCACTTTGGGTCGCATACTGGTGCACCAACTCAATTTTTATATTTGTGCTATGTGCCTGTTTACTTAGGAAGAACATTGTTATTAGTCTAGATCAGTGGTGGCGAACCTATGGCACGCGCGCCAGGAAGGGCACGCGGGGCCCTCTCTGCTGGCACTCGAGCCCAGGTTCAGGGACCACCAATAGAAATAGATCCGACCGACCTGGATTGCTTCAGCACGCGATCCGGGCCAGTCACAATCAGGCAGTGGCGGTGACCTCTAAACAGGCAGATTAGACGGCCGCTTCCTCCTCGCGGATGTCGCCCCGAACAGTCGCGCTATCCCGGCCCCCGCTTGTAAGGTATGTCGCATGGTGTGAATGGGGCCTAAGGCAGTGATGTTGAACGTTTCTTAAACCCGAGCGCCCGAACTGCAATACAGTACTAAACTTATTTTCAACGCTGGCACTTTGAGGTAAATAAATTGATTTTGCGTTGCAGTTTGGGCACTCGGGTTCAAAAAAGTTCGCCATCACTGGTCTAGATTATAAAATAATATTTTTGGGGGGGAAACAAGGCTTTTTTTTTGGTGATATCTTGTAAAAATTATTTAATTTTTTTATACAATCAATCGGAAAAAATATATATAACAAAACCTAGAGAGAGCACTTTGATCAGAGACCTGACCCCGGTCCATATTTTGTATTTTGTTTTGTTGGTGGGAATGTCGAGTGACCCATTAAAGGAAGTCAGTCCAGCAAAATCTTGCTAAAGATTAAGGCCAAGTTGGCTAAAACACGCTTGCACGAGCCAGGTGAGCTTTTTACTACCTTGTTGTTATATCTGGGGCTTTGTTAGAAAGATTTCCCCTCACTTCCTGCCCTACTGACGATGGTTTTCCCTGACAGGAAGTGAGGGAAAATCTATAAAAGCAACACTGAAACTAATAGAAATCTGGAATGGCCTCTAGCCTTCCCCTACTAAAAAAAAGTTATTTCTGTCTGTCTTGTTGTTGTTGGAGAGCTCCCCTCACATCCTGCCTAATCAAATGTTGTCAGCAGGACAGGAAGTGAGGGGAAATCTTTAATGGATCCTGCAGTAATTGTAAAGACCGAACAGGAGTTCTGTCCCTTCCCTTCTATCCAAGAGAAGGAAAAATATTTTTGCTAGGCATGCGCTCAATGCAGATCCATGCAATGTGTTCACATTTGCAGAAAAATGTAATTGTTATGTAACAATCCTAACATCCTTTATTTTGTTTATTTTTAAAACTGAAGACACTTTAAGGCTGATTAAAAAAAATGCAGTTATTTTGTTTATTATCATTCTCTTAACAAAACAATAAATACATTGTTTTTGAACACACCGGGCTTTCTTTTGGCAATATTATCTTGCAATACTTTTTTTTTTTTTTATCTTCCTTGCAATCTGTAGACAAAACAGATGTAAAATAACAGTAGAGCAAAGTTTCCGGTACAAAGCATGGCCAATAAGGCATTTTTTTTTTAGCATTTTCTGTTCATGCAACACTAAAAAAAAAAAGTACTAAGGAGGGTGCTTTGGCTGGGGGGATCCTGGACATCCATTTTAACCCCTTAATGACAAAAGTAGTACAAACCTTAACACCTAAATCCAGTTTTGCAACTTTGGCATGTGCTAGTAAAGCTGTGTCTTTGCAACTACTAACAGGGTTATTCACTAAAGGGTGAAGAGTTTGGAGAAGGCAGGAGAGGTGGACAATCTAGGACAACATAGCTGAACTGGAAATATTCTCCAATTCAGCTCACTTTCCAGTTCAGCTATGTTGTCCTAGATTGTTCTCTTCTCCGGCCTTCTCCAAACTCTTCACCCTTTACTTAATAGCCCTGTATGTGTATGCAGGTAAAATTATACCTTGTTTTGTTCAGGACAAAATGGTACATATACATGGTACTTTGGGGCTGATTTAAAGAAATCTTCCACCCAGCCTATAGCTGGCCAAATGCCGTTAACATGCCGCCACCGCCTCTAGATGGCGCTGAGGAGCATAAGAAATTCCCATACCCCTCAGGACCACCTAGCAGCAGCAGTGCCATGTGAATAGCAATCACTAAGACTCATCTCTTCGGGGAAGCCTTTCCCACCTCAACCTAACCAGTGAACCATCACGTTCTCAAACAATTCATCCCCACACAGCTACCTCCTCATGTATCACTGGCCCCTCCCTTTTAGATTGTAAGCCCCCAGGGGCAGGGCCCTCCTTACCACCTTGTCTTGAATTGTATTGTGATTGTAATGTCCTCCTTATATTGTAAAGCGCCGCACAAACTGTTGACGCTATATAAATCCTGTATAAAAATAATAATTAAAAAAATAATCACCCAGCCACCTAGTATGTTCCCTCGACCCTCAGTATTGAAAAAAAACTTCCTGCCCCAGTCTATTAAAAAGGGCCAAAGTTTAAATTTAATGCAGAGAAATTACTCCACACCCATAGGATATTTACATTTGTAAACTGAACATTTTGATGCAAAAATTATAATGAGATAAAATAAAAAACTGATACTTACCTTTGTTCTTCATTTTATAATCTTTGTATTAAATGAATGCAAATTGTATTATATTTATGTAGCCGTGTTAAAGGAGCTGTAAAGTCCCGGCATCTCCTCTCCTGTTATAACATCAGCATTGTAATAGGAATACATAGGAGAGTTGTCTCTGATAATACAATCAAAACTTATATGAAAAAATCCCTTTTATGTAGTGAGCGCTGCCTTCCGTCTGCCCATCACTTCCAACAACTTCCTGGATCCCCAGTGTGCTTTGCGTCTCTTTCCCTGCTGCTTGATGTGATGTAATCTCCATTTCTCATGACTACATATCCCATCATGCATTGCTCCCAGCAAGCAATGATGATGTTACATTGCTCAGACGTTGAGTTGTAGTTCAGAAGGCAGGCTCTGGGGGAGTTGTGAAGTTGAGTTGAGGGACACTGTGTCAGTGCATAGAGGAAGTCTACCCTATGGGCATTTTTAATAAGTAAGTTTACAGACTTGTTTACAGACTAGATGGATCTGGTTATTAGGAGAGGGATAGAACGCATGGGAATTCAATATAGAAATACAGATTTATTTCTAGTTTTGACCATAGATATCCTTTAAAGCCTTGGTTATCAACTGGTCGGCCGTGACCCAAAAGTGGGTCGCGACCCCTTGTTCAGTGGGACAAACAAAAAGATACCTTGTCGCACCCCTTACCGGAAAAACCCAAAGTTGAATGAGGGGGGTGCTTGTAGTGACCTGCGGGTGGCGCCGCCACACAGTATGAGGCCTTGTTCACACCAAATGCAGAGCAGATCTGCATGAGTTTCTGCACACGCAGTGCAGTGGGTTGTGCCGCATTTTTGCCGCATTTTTTCTGCGTTTTTGATGCGTTCCGGGCCGTTTTTTTGGGGAAAAAATTATTTTATTTTTTTTGTTTAAAATGGGCTTTCAGTGCGTTCCAGGCGTTTGCATGCATTTTTGATGCATTTGCATGCGTTCCACAGCAGGTCCAGAGCAGGTAAAATAGGGCCTGCTGCAGTTTTTTTTACCTGCTCTGGACCTGAACTGGAGCTAAAAATACAATTGGAATACATTGGACGCAGTTTTGCTCCAGTCTGTAACTGCTCTGCACCTGCTCCGCGCTTGGTGTGAACAAGGCCTGAAGATAAATAAATGTCACCAGCACACAACCAGTATTGCTGTCCAAAGAGTTAGTTTATTGGAACGTCATGTTACCAAAACTAGCGCTTTCGGGGCCACGCAGGATCCCCTTCATCAGGCTCAGCAATGATCAGTGGGTCACCACATGCCTTCCACTTTTCTAGATGAGGCTTCCCAGCCTCCCCCCAGCGCAGCACTGTCAGTTCTCGGGCCAAGCAGCCATTCAAAATATGCTGCCCGGCGCCGAGTGTCAGCTTGAGGTGGGGTGTGATGGGGCCATGGCCGTGAGGGAGCTTCAACCACATGTGCATTGCTTGCAGCTCCCTCGCTAGCCTTGCAGAGGTGCCTGGGCTGGAGTGATGTCATATTCTGGCACCTCTACAGGGCATGCAAGGGAGCTGTACAAGCAATGCACATATGGATGGAGCTCCATCACAGCACAGCAGCCCACACTGGGCCCCAGGCTGAGCATACACTCCAGTTCTCATAAGATTGGGAGACTGGATGGATCTGTACCACAATGCCGTGTGTTCCATTGCAGTGCAACTTAATGGCCGAGGACAAATGTGGGTCCTGAGGTTATACAGGTTGAGAATTACTGATCTAAAGCAATGTGTGTGCTATGGAAATGCAATTTTTTTAATTTTCATTTTTAAATGTAATTTAATTTTTGTTTTATTCTTTCTACTTGGAATAAACGTAATACTTTTGCCTATTTACACAATGATAAAAAGGATCTCAGAATGTTCCGGGATACATCGCAGCATTCTGCTCTATAGACAGCGACAATCTTCTTTTTTCTTACGATATAATGATACAGACCTGTGAAGTGTCCTGGGATCCGGACTGTACGAGTCGCTGTGACTAAGCGCTCAGCTCTATTTTATGGCGTTCCAGACACAGAGACGCATCTGGAGGATTCAGCTCTCGGGAGTTACGTAAGTGCCACATTTCCCAACTCTCAATCCTCTAACCAAAAACACATCCAAAGAGAGAAACCAGTAAAATGTAACTGAATCAATGCAAATAGGGTATCCCGGGTCTGAGGTATTATTAAAGGTCAATCTAACCCAAAGAACAAAAATTTAATATATTGCTGCTCACCAGTCCTAAGATGTGGGGGCCGCATTAGTTTTCTGTTATCAGGTTTTTTTTCCTTTACTGTGACCTAGTGATCCTGCCAATAACACACTCCCTGTCTTGGGGTGACAACGCTCATTCATTGTACTGCAGCTATGGAGGAGCAGAGTTGTCACCCTAGGACATGAAGTGTGTTAGTACTACAGAACACCTCTCCCTCTTTAAATCTCCATAACAAAGTGGGGAGGTCTTTCGTAATCTACAGAGAGAACTGGAATCACTGCCAACTGATACCTGTCAGCAGAGCCAGAGACCACAGGCCATTGGATTTCTGGCAGGATCTACTGGTATTTATTGCACTTATTGAACAGATATAACAAAATGCAATCCATAGAATATTTGACAGACCAAAGGGAGCAAATAAGAGAAGTTTATTGTTAAGGTCTATATACATTTTAGTGGGTCTGCAGATTCAGAATAAATATTATGTATTGTCTATGTTTTTTTTATTTTTATTAAAAAGGAAATTATATTTTTTTTGTAAGGTAACATGCTTTTAAATTGATGCTTTATTATTTTTGTAGCATTTCTATAAGTAATTTTTTTTAGACATAAACATTTATTACAATACAGAACAAATATGTTGTAAGGAAATTTAAAAAACAAACAAAAACATTGCCCTTGTTATTTAATTAAATTATAAAGATTTGGGGCTTTTGTTTTTGCAGGTGGCATGCTTTTATGTTGATACTTAATTATTATTTTGTAGCGTTTATATAAGTTCTTCATTTTTAAAAATAATACAATACAAAACAAATATACATTGCCCTTGATTTATAATTGTTTTACAATTTTTTTTTTTCATTTGTAAATTTTTTGTAAGGTGACATGATTTTAAATTGACGCTTTATAATGATCTTTTCGTAACATTTATAAAGTTTCTCCTTTTTAAGAAATAAACATTTATTACAAGATATACTCATATCCCTGGTGACACAGAGAATTCTAAAGATAAAGCACAGCACAAGCAGCTTCTTTTCAGACGCTCTCTCCCTCAATGAAGATTCGTGCAGAACAGTACAGAACAAGCAGGGAGGAGGATGAGAGGTAATTCATCACTCCAAGTTTAAAGGAGAACTATGGGGTTAAGTCTTTTCCCCATAGTTCTCCTTAGGGTAACGGGAGGACACCAACTAGCGTCCTCCCGTCACCCTAGGCTCAGTATACCGCGAGCTGTAGCTTGCGGTATACTGAGACGCCGCAGCTGAAGCGGATCCCGACAATTGTGCCAGGATCTGCCCAGCTGCGTGACTGACAGCTGACTCTGCCTATCTAGAGGCAGAGCCAGCTGTACCCGCCCCCTCCCCCGTCCGTTCCTTCAGTCAGCGCTGGAGGATCGGAGCGGGGAGGGGGGAATCCAGCTCCTCCCCTGTCACGGCAGAGAGCCGTGACAAGATCGAGAGGTGAGCGAAAGCCGGTATGTGTTCGCTCACCTCCCAATCTACTGAGCCGACCTGTGACAGTCTCATTGTCACAGGTTGGCTAGAACTATGAGGTGAGTGAAAAACACTCACCTCATAGTTCTCCTTTAAGCTTGAGCTGTTGAGCTCTATAAACAATGGACATATAAAAAAAGCAGTTATAAATAAGATGGAAGATATGTAAAGAGGAACCTAGAGCGCCACCTCTTGGCTGCAAATCTTAAAATATAAATTCATGTGTAACAGTTCATGTTTATCTAAAAAAAAAGAGACCCTTTTTTAAAATAATTTTATTTATAAAGAAAATATGCATTGCACAATAGTCTTCTTTGAATAAAATATCCAACAAATATATTATTTTTGTGTCTATGGTGGGCAATTACAGCTTTTCTGATGTGATGGACTTAGTTAGCACACCGAGGTCTAAACATGGTAGTCTTTAATATTCAGAGTATTATAAATTCTGTAGAACCGAAGTCTCTAAATATGTTGTCACCCTCCTTGTGCTGTGATCCTTTGACCCATGAAGGCCTTTCTAAGGGCGTCTTTCACCTCTTTGTTCCTCAAGCAGAAGATCATGGATTTCATCAATGGGGTCACTATCCAATAGAAGATCAACACCACCTTGCCAAGAGTGAGCCTGATGTGAGAATTGGGACGCATGTACATGAAAATGATTGTCCTGTCAATGATCAATACAACTGTGAGGTGGGAAGCACAATTGCTGAAAGTCTTGTTCTGGCCTTCAATGCATGGAATCTATAGAACATTGAATATAATAAAAATGTAAGAGACCATAATTATACAGACAGATGTAGCCAAGAGGATATCACAGAGAACTAAGGATATCACAGAGAACTTGAACTCATGAAGACTTTTTTAAGGTCACCTCTTTGTTTGTTCCTCAAGCTGTGGATCATGAAATTCATCAATGGGGTCACCACGCAATAGAAGATCTACACCAGCTTGCCAAGAGTGAACCTGATGTGAGAATTGGGACATTTGTACATGAAAATGATCGTCCTGTTAAAGATCAATACCACTGTGAGGTGGGAAGCACGAGTGCTGAAAGCCTTCTTCTAGCCTTCAACGCATGGGATCTTCAGAACAGTAAATATGATAAAAATGTGAGAGACCATAATTAGATAGACGTAGCCAAGATATATTACTCCAGGATAGCACAGAGAACGTGAACTCATGAAAATCTTTCTATGGGCTACATTCACCTCTTTGTTCTCTTTGTTCCTCAAGCAGTAGATCATGGGGTTCATCAATGGGGTCAGCACGCAATAGAAGATCAACACCACCTTGTCAAGAGTGAATCTGATGTGAGAATTAGGACATATATACATGAAAATGATCATCCTGTTAAAGATCAATACCACTGTGAGATGGGAAGCAAAAGTGCTGAAAGCCTTCTTCTGGCCTTCAACGCATGGAATCTTCAGAACAGTGAATATGATAAAAGTGTCAGGATAGAACAAAGAACGTGAGCTCATGAAGACCTTTCTAGGGGCCTCTTTATTCCTCAAGCGGTAGATCATGGGGTTCCTCAATGGGGTCAACAGATGTGAGATTTCGGACATATCTACACGAAAATGATCGTCCTGTTGAAGATCAATGCCACCGTGAGGTGGGAAGCATAAGTGTTGAAAGCCTTCTTCTGGCCTTCAACAGATGGAATCTTCAGAACAGTGAATATGATAAAAGTGTACCAGACCATGATGAGACAAAAGCAGCCAAGTGTTAAACTCCAGGATAGCACAGAGAACGTGAACTCATGAAGACCTTTTGAAGGGCCCCTTTCACCTCTTTGTTCCTCAAGCAGTAGATCATGGGGTTCATCAATGGGGTCACCACGCAATAGAAGATTGACACCACCTTGTCAAGAGTGAACCTGATGTGAGAATTGGGACGTATGTACATGAAAATGATTGTCCCGTTAAAGATCAATACTACTGTGAGGTGGGAAGCACAAGTGTTGAAAGCCTTCTTCTGGCCTTCAACAGATGGAATCTTCAGAACAGCGAATATGATAAAAGTGTACGAGACCATGATGAGACAAAAACAGCCAAGTGTTAAACTCCAGGATATCACAGAGAACGTGAACTCTCCTCTTGAGGTGTCCTCACAAGACAGCTTCAGGAGGGGCGAGTAATCACAAAAGAAGTGGTCAATGTAATTTGGGAAACAAAAGCTAAGGGTGGATATCCAGATAGCAGGACAGGCAGCCGTTATAAACCCAACTATCCATGGAGCAAGTGCCAGGCCCAAGGTAGTCCTTTTGGTCATCAACATGGTGTAGTGTAAGGGTTGGCAGATGGCGGCATACCGATCAAAGCCCATGACAACCAGGAAACAATTCTCCGCTGCTCCAAAAGCGAAGAAAAAGTAAAACTGAACAAGGCAGTCAATAGAGGGGATCTCTTTGTTCCGGGTCAGCAGAGCATCCAACATCTTTGGTATAGTAACTGTGGTGTATAGAACCTCCACCAATGAGAAATTGGCCAGAAGCAGATACATGGGCTTGTGTAGGCGGTTATCCATTAGGACAAGTGTGATGATAAGGACATGAGCTCCCATGGTAAGGATGTACATGACCGAGAAAAGGGAAAACAGAAAGATCTCTGCGTCCCTCAGTGTCTCAAATCCCACAATGATGAAGATATAAGCTAGACTCTGATTGACGTGGTCCGCTGTCTGCATGGTTCCTGAATCACAGAAATACTTAAAGGTGAAGTTTAATCTGCTTATATTTTGCCTTCCCTGGTTCCTCCCCTCCCCCATCAAAATGGTAATACATTTTGAAATAAAACCACTCGGTTTTCATTACAATTTACATGCTCGCTGGGTGCATGCAGTAGCGTCACAAGGGGGGTGCAGGAGGTGCGACCCGCACCCGGGTGACACCATTGGAGGGTTGACACCAAAACGACTGACAGTCATTTTGGTGTCACCCCCTCTAAAAAGTCAGGCACTTGGTCATGGACCGAGAGCCCAACAGTGTCAGCGGCATAACTCGATCTGCCGGGTGAACGTCCCCTCCTCTCTCTGCCGGCGTCCATCACCGAGATGGTTGCCGGCATCCGTCAATTAAATGGCCGCGCAGGCGCAATGACGTCATGGCGGGGTGTCACCTGGTCTCCGCTCCGGGTGACACCCGGCCTGGGGACGCCCCTGGGTGCCTGTGCTTCTTTCTGCAATGCAGGAAGACCATGGCTGGTGGGAGGGGCCAGCAAGGGGCTGTACATAGCTTCCTGAAAACATCACAGCATCCAGCGTGCTCCTTTTTAGAGATTCCCCCCACCAGTAGTGACACAGATGGCAAACCAAAGTAACTGCTTCCAGCTAGTTCTGTTACTTAATCGAAGCCCAATTTATATGGTTAACCTTCCCTTGTCGGTGCTGGGTATACTCCACACCCGGGACACTCTGGGGTCTATTTATGGGGCCCTGTGAATATCTGTGAATGTTCATCTTGGGGAACAAATGTGGAAAGCAAAAGTTCATAATGTATATTGTTTTCCCATTCGATGTAGTGTGTTGTAATAATACATTATGGCCACTAGATGGAGCATAAGAAAACCTCTCCTTCACAGCTCCATCTAGTGGCCATAATGTATGATTACAACACCCTATATTCAACAGAACATTTGTTTTTGCCATTATTCACCCAAAACAAACTTTCACAGATAATCACAGGGTAAAGGACCCTGAGAATTGTTTATAAATAGACCCCCCTGTGTCTGTATAGACCTGTAGAACAGAGTTTACTGCTCAACTGCCGACGGCTAGCAGAGAGTGTGGGACCTGGTTGTGCTTTCTGGCAGGGGTGGGTGGATGCTGAGACTGACTGAACAAGATTACAGATTTAACAGATAATATGTATTTAAACTATATATTTACCTGGAGTGCAGATTTAAATAGCTCACGCAGAATGTTGCTCCCTTAAAGACAATCCTCAAGACCTAAAAATAATAATAATAATAAAATTGTGCTCTCCACATATGGAAAGGGTTCTTTACTGTAAGAGATGGAAAATAGTGCAATAGTCTATCACAGGATTTGCTTCTAGCAAACTCAGTAGTTTCCAAAGTGGGTTGGATGTGTTATATATTCATTAGAGGTCCTTAAATGTAAATGGAACAAATATTAATACCTGATTGTGTCCCTATGTAATCCCCGCTACAACAGAGCTCAGACTGATAAACTGCAGTCAGTTGTAGAATTGTTTTCACTATATATATATACATATACACTATATTACCAAAAGTATTGGTACGCCGGCCTTTACACATACATGAACTTTAATGGCATCCCAGTCTTAGTCCGTAGGGTTCAGTATTGGGTCGGCACCGCCCTTTGCTGCTATAACAGCTTCAACTCTTCTGGGAAGGCGTCCACAAGGTTTAGGAGTGTGTCTATGGAAATGTTGGACCATTTGTGAGGTCAGGTACTGATGTTGGAGGAGAAGGCCGGGCTCACAGTCTCCACTCTAATTCATCCCAAAGGTGTTCTATCGGGTTGAGGTCAGGACTCTGTGCAGCCAGTCAAGTTCCTCCACCCCAAACTCCCCCATCCATGTCTTTATGGACCTTGCTTTGTGCACTGGTGCACAGTCATGTTGGAACAGGAAGGGGCCATGCCCAAACTCCTCCCACAAAGTTGGGAGCATGAAATTGTCCAAAATGTCTTGGTGTGCTGATGCCTTAAGAGTTCCCTTCACTGGAACTAAGGGGCCAAGCCCAACCCCTGAAAAACAACCCCACACCATAATCCCCCCTCCACCAAACTTTACACTTGGCACAATGCAGTCAGGCAAGTACCGTTCTCCTGGCAACCGCCAAACCCAGACACGTCCATCGGATTGCCAGACAGAGAAGCGTGATTGGCCATTTCAGAGAATACGTCTCCACTTCTCTAGAGTCCAGTGGCGGCGTGCTTTACACCACGACATCCCACGCTTTGCATTGTGCTTGGTGATGTAAGGCTTGGATGCAGCTGCTCGGCCATGGAAACCCATTCCATGAAGCTCTCTACGCACTGTTGTTGTGCCAATCTGAAGGCCACACGAAGTTTGGAGGTCTGTAGCTATTGTCTCTGCAGACAGTTGGCGACTTCTGCGCACTGTGCGCTTCAGCATGCGCTGACCCCGCTCTGTCATTTTACGTGGCCTACCACTTCGTGGCTGAGTTGCTGTTGTTCCCGGTTGCTTCCACTTTGTTATAATACCAGTAACAGGTGACCGCGGAATATTTAGTAGCAAGGAAATGTCACGGAACACCTGAATCCAATGATTTGGAGGGGAGTCCCAATACTTTTGGTAATATAGTGTAGTGTAGATATATAATATATACAGATGCTCCTTGGGTTTACGATTTTTCGCATTTACGATGGAGTTTACTGTACAGTACAACAGTACTGTACAGTAAACTCCCAGCTATTCGTCACCTACGGACCGGTAGGTGCCAGATAACTGTAGTTTGTGGTTGCTGGAGAGTTAATAGTAACTCTCCAGCAACCAGCCAAGAGGTGCTCTGCTTCCCTATTCACCTGCCGACTCGCTTCCGCAGCCGGCAGGTAAATGTGAACAGCCAGGATCAATAGCAAGACTACTATTGGCTGTTTCAAATTGCAATAGCCAATATCAGGCTGGCTATTGCACCCATCCACTGAGCAGAGGAGCAGACCTGAGAGAGAATGTTATCTCTCTGTTATAGGAAGTGAACACATAGAGATCTACAAAAGGATCAACAGATATTACATCTACGTTATGGGGGGACTAAAACTAAAACCAATGTGTTAATTTTATTAATAGATTGCATATGTGTCATTTTTTATTTTGCCCATAGTCCCACTTTAAGTCAAAGGGTCTCTATGGCCAAAAACTACAAATAAACCTGTATTTCTATATTGAATTTCCATTAGTTCTATCCCACTCCTTATATCCAGATCCATCTAGGAGTATGTAAACTTACTTATTGAATATGCCCATAGGATGTACTGACACCATATCACTCAGCTCTGTGAATGTGCACTTCCTGGTGTCACCACTCTTACAGAGCCTGCCTTCTGAACTACAACTCAACATCTGAACAATGCAACATCATCATTGCTTGCTGGAAGCAATGCATGATGGGTTATGTAGTCTTAAGAAATGGAGATTGTATCACATCAAGCAGCAGGGAAAGAGACACAAAGTACACTGGGACTCCAGGATGTTGGTGGAAGTGATGGGCAGACGGAAGGCAGCGCTCACTACATAAAAGGGATTTTTTTCAAGTAAGCTTTGATTATCATACACATCTCTACTATGTATTCCTACAACACTGCTGATGTTATAACAGGAGAGGATGTGCTGGGACTTTACAATTCCTTTAATACTTTGATTTTGAGCTGTGGAGTGAACAGCCCAGTTTGTATAAGAGAGAATGTTGGAATGGTGCGGAGCTCTTGATGAAATGTTACATACAGACCTGAGACGTGTCTGGATCTCATATTCCTCTGATGTATGATCAGTTAGCCTCAAGCTTTTTTATATATATAACAATTTCCACCCTTGAGGGCCAATTGTCTCACGTGTTTTGCTCCTGCATACTAATAAAGAAGGGAAGATTTGGATACAAAAAAATTATCTACTCCAGGGATATGTGAAACAGAGCTGAAGTTTAATAATCAACATGCAATGTCCTTTTGGGGGGCCCGGTATTGGCCAACATGCAACTGTAACATTGTAAGCCCTCATGGGGAAGGGGCCCTCCTTACCATCTTGTTTTGAATTGTATTGTGATTGTAATGTCTTCCTTACATTGTAAAGTGCTGCGCAAACTGTTGGCTCTATATAAATCCTGTATAATAATAAATGTGCAAAAAATTAAGATGGAACGATCAGATCCTCCGCACCTCCTGACCACAAGCAGCTTAGGCACCTCAGTGTCTTCTAGAGGCATTTCAGGAGATTTATGTAATCAGCTTTCTCTCCCCAGTTTTTTTAGCCTCCAGCCTCCACCTCACTATGCACCCCCTGACCCCATCCAATCCATTTGTTTTCCCTAAATTTGGACTACAGGTATTCCTCACTTCACGACCGAGGTCCGTTCCTGCGGCCAAGTCGTTAAACGAATTGGTCGTTAAGCGAGGAACTGTATACTGTACTGTACTGCATTAGTACAGTACTGTATAGTGTTGCAGATGTACAGTACTGAACAGTGTACTGTAAATTGGTCAATAAAACACTTACCTGGACCCGCAGTGTGAGAACGGAGTGCAGCACTTCCGCCGGCGAGACGTGTTCTCGCACGTAAGGTCGGAAAGCTGGTCGTAAGTGCGAGTGGTCGCAAAGCAGGTAAGTCGTAAAGTGAGGAATGTCTGTACTGAAAACGGACCTTTACCCCTTTGACTAAAAATCACATCAGTATACAGCTCCGCATGCTGATATGAAATCATATTATATCCATTAGCTGAACAAACATTTTTATTTTACTTACAATTTCTTTTTTTCTACTTCCTGGCCCTCTTTGGCACAAATGATGTAATCTGTGCCCAAGCGTTGCATCCTGGGAAGGTTACATCAGCAGAGCATTGCTGGGAAATCTCATCTGTAATCTCAGGAGATCTCAGGGAAAGACGTTTTCCTCCCCTGAGATGATGTGCATGGTCCTAGTCACGTGTGCCAGAGTTCCAGGAAGTAAAGGGAGATATATTCATCTATCCTTAGTAAAAACGACCGCTGTGAGAAGACCAGGAAGGAAAAGCAAAATATGGTATGCCTATGTTGTCATTTTGAAAATAGGGGTAAAATTCCTCTTTAAAGTGTATGTAAACCCTAACAATTAACTTATTTAAAGTGACACTAAACTCCGGAGTTAAATCTTAAAAATACATTCAGGTACCTTAAATATTAACAAAAATTATTTGTGTATCACTCAGCTGTAGATCCTCAAATCATCTCTGAATTCCTCTGTGCTAACGTTTGTGTGTAGGTTATATAAAGAGGGATTTTTGGGCCCCGGAAACGCAATAACGCATTGGCTTCCTGTTGCTTTTTTGAGGAATCAGTAAAAGACTTTGGACTCCTAAAGGGTGGTTCTGGCAATCTTATTGGCTCTATCATACATAGAATGGATGGTGACAGTGCAGGGGAACAGAGGCATTAAGGCTCCAATCACACATCAGCGCAAAACATGCAAAATAATACATTCCGGTGAAGCTTATTCACACCTGAGCGATGTCCACGCGGCATGAAAATGCGCATCACGCAGAAAAGTACAAGTGCGATGTTCTGGGCAACTTAGGATATTCCGGCTATAGTAGTAGCCGCAAATGCGCGGAAATCACGCGTATGTTACAATGTGCGTGTTGCCGTGCTGCGCGGACGAACACGTGGAAAACTGCACTGAATTTCAAACCGCTATGTGTGAACAGAGAGTGGACAGAAGGGTACTTACTGGAGAGGAGAGCAAATTGAGGATGACAGAAGAGGGGGAGACGAGGGAGACGCAGGAGCAGAATGCAGCATTTAAAACAAAGCCAAGTAAGGGGAAACAGACCATTGAAGAGGAGATCAGAGAGAGAATTGGTACAAGCCATATGAATGTGTGAAATAATTCTTTCCACTAACACTGACAGGAAAGAGAAAGTGCCATTCTTATATTAATACTTTAATAATAATAATAATAATAATAAAAAATGTACTATAATAAATAATATATATAAATAAACATAGTTTCCTTATCCTTATAAATTGTTTCTCATTTTATAATTCAGTTTAAATTCAGATCTAAACTCAGTCACTAAACTCTCATATAAACTTTCACATGTCAACGTAATTTCAGAAGTTGTTTCCAATCTTTTTGTTTATATTTTAACGATGTGCAAACCATACTGGGGCAAGTGTATGTAGCCAGGAAGTGGCTGCAAGAGGCTGTAAGAGATCAGTAGCAACATGATGCACGAAAAAAGGTGAAATCATCATTAGTTTCAACGTTTTTATTGGTTTTCAAAACAGCATGACAAGTATCACATAAAATATATTGATATGCCTAAAGGGAAAATAGGATCAATCATAAAATATAATAAAGTAACTACCGTATACACATGTAACGATAAAAAAAACAAAGCAATCAATATAGTAATCCACAGGTACCTAGCCATAGTATTAGGAAATAGAAAATACACTTTGAGATCAGGACTGGCTCGGCCCAGCTGTCATTTGCGGTTAGAACAGCCAGCCCTCTAGGCTGTTCTCCCCGCTTCGGCTGTCACTTTGGCTCATTCGAGCCAAAGCATATGCCTTCGGCTCGGCTGAGCCACTCGGCCGCCTTCGGCTGCTGTACGGGTTATAGTGAATAGCCCGTACAGCAGCCCTTCAGTTCGACTGAACCAAAGGGCTCCTGCGGCTGAAGAGAGCCGAAGGATCAGCCGAAGCTATGGCTGGATCCTTCGGCTCCTTCGTGAATAACCCTGTAAATCGACCATTGTCATACTATTGATGTATATAAAACAAGCAAACCTTGCCTTCCAGGCCCATAACAGGACCATCAAGGAAGGTAGAGAGAAAGTAAGTTACAGAAAATTAAAGAAAGTAGTAATATTGCTTGGACCCTGTGCAAACATTTGTTTGGGCTCTCCCACCCCACCCATACCCACCATGCCCGCTCCTACCCACTACACCCCGCCACATACTTGCCACACCCAGCCAAATAACCGCCACTCCACGCATCCGCCATGCAAACAGGAGGAGACATCAGACGGAGACATGACCCCACGTGAGACGTCATGCGGTCACACTACTAGGTGTACGGCAGGAGTGAAGCAACACTAGGTGATGCAGATCACATAGTAAACAGAATGGTGCCGTGTGTGTATCTTTTGTGGGCTCAAGGGGCAGCTGCTTTGGGCTCCACAACAATGACTGGACCCAGGGCAATTGCCCCTTTTGCCCATCATTAAAGACGGCCCTGAATGCACGTTGAGATCTAAGTCATTGCTTTTTTAAACTAAATATCGTCTAGTTAGGGTTTAGGTCTTCTTTAACACGTTTGGTCTGTTGTGCAGCAAAGGTGCGGCTTGACACAAACTCATAAATGAATTGCTTTGCACCTCCCATCCATTGCTCATATCCCCAACCCCTGTAAACCTTTGTATGCTGCATTTTTTACATCTTTGTTCCTCAGGCAGTAGATGATGGGGTTTAAAAGTGGAGTTACAATGCTGTAGAAGATAGATACCACCTTGTCTAATGTGAAGCGAATAGTGGAGGTGGGTCGTATGTACATGAAGATGACTGTCCCATTGAAGATGGATACTACAGTTATATGGGAGGCACAGGTGCTGAAGGCCTTCTTCTGTCCCTCAGCGGAAGGGATTTTTAGAACAGAGAAGATTATGAAGGCGTAAGACACTAGTGTTAGGGAGAAGCAGCCCAATATGAGGCTCCAAGATATGACAGTGAAGGCAAACTCTCCTTTGGAAGTGTCTTCACAGGACAGTTTCAAAAGAGGGGCATAATCACAAAAGAAATGTTCAATGTGGTTGGGGTAGCAGAAGTTCAGGGTAGACACCCATAGAGTAGGAGATGTGGCTGCCAACAGACCACCAGCCCAGGCTCCTATAGCTAAACCACGACTGTTTCCTTTGGCCATCATGGTGTGATAATGCAAAGGTTGACAGATGGCTACATAGCGGTCGTAGCCCATGACAACCAAGAAACAGTTTTCAGTGGCCCCAAAGGCAAAGAAGCTGTAAAATTGAGCCATACAAGCAGAATAGGAGATAACTTTATTCCTGGTCAAGAGGGCATCAAGCATCTTGGGCACAGTTGCTGTAATGTAGCAGATCTCTGCCACGGAGAAGTTAGCCAAAAACATGTACATCGGTTTATGAAGACGATGATCTAGGATGACAAGGCCTATGATGATTATATGGGCACCAAGAGTTATGACGTACATGCACAGGAAGAGAAAAAACAAAAAGAGCTCCATCTCTCGGATCGTCTCAAACCCAACAATGATGAAAGAGGAGGCCAGAGTTCGGTTCCCATTGTCGAATGTCGGCATGGTCCCTAAAAGTCAGACAATGATAAAGATATTGCCTTTCATAGTATCACTACATGCATTTATTATGCCTGATTATAAAAATATTTAGGTTTACATACAAAACATTCATATTTTTAAATTTATGGTCGTGAGGCATCAAAAGCTACTTTTTTAACCACTGTTAGGGAGAAGCGTCTGAAGCTGGAGAGTGACACAAGAAGGCGGAAATGATGTAATATACATCACTTCCGCATTCTGACACCGGAGGGAGGTCGTGTACCGGTCTCCCTCAGATCCCTTGTCAGAGAGCCACCATGCTGGTCCCGGGCTCGCACAGGGCACAGAGGAGCCCGGGACCAGCGAGTGGGAGGGGGGGCGCCAATCGGCACCCTATACAAGTGTATATAAACAGACATCGCTGCCTGTTTTACCATTTCGGTCGTTTATATACACGGCCTGTTACATCCAGGAAGCTCCCGGTCAGCCGTTTCTGTACAACAGCCGGACGGGAGGCAGTTACAGAACTACTTGAGAAAAGGAATTTGTCTACTGCAACTCTATTTCTCTGGTCCAGTGTAGACTAAGTAGACTAACATACAGTTTTTTGTTCCTGTTACTGATCTAAGCTCCTTAAGCACCCGAGGGTGTACACACACATCTAAAGAGAAATTTAAGAGAAGAACAACCATACTGTAATTTAACATAAGTTGCGCTTATTGATAGTATTGTAATTATTAGTACTATTCATACTAGTATGCCATTTATTTATTTTTCTGCTCCCGTTTTTGTCTGCTCCAGTTTTGATAAATTCCCCTTATTGTAAAAAATATTATATTGTATTTAACCCCTTCCTATCAGCTGTATCAGTGGAGGGATTGGCAGAGTGGGGTGGGTGATGAAAGCCAGTGGAGGGATTAGCAGAGAGGGACGGGAATTGAAGCCAGTTCAGGGATTGGCAGAGAGGGGCGGGTGATGAAAGCCAGTGGAGGGATTAGCAGAGTGGGCAGGTGATGGAAGCCAGTGGAGGGATTGGCAGATAGAGTGGGCAGGAGATGGAAGCTAGTGGAGGGATTGGCAGAGTGGGCAGGTGATGGAAGCCAGTAGAGGGATTGGCAGAGTGTGGCGCGTAATGGAAGACAGTGGAGGGATTGGCAGAAAGGGGTGGTGAATGCTGAGTGGTTGGTGAGGGGAATGTGTCTGGCAGCAGCCTTTATAAAAGGCTGAACAGGGGATAATCTTTGTAAAGGTAGACTAATGAGGAGGGAGTTCCAATAGCCAAGTCGAGAGATAACGAGAAAGTCAATAGGTAGCTTGGTGATGTCATAGTTTAGGAAGGGGCAGATTTTAGAAATGTTGCAGCAAGATTTGGACAGTGACTGGATTTGGGACTAAAAGGAGAGGTCAGAATCTAGGAAAACACCCCGCACCTTGGCTTGAAGTGAGGGACTGATAGTTCATTTTGATGGAAAAGTCAGAGAGGGACATGGGGGAAGAGAGGTATTATGAGCTCACTTTTGGAAAGATTTCGTTTTAGGAAAAGGTGTGACATCCATACTGATTTGTCAGCTAATAATTTAGTGACACTGAAGGGGTAAGGAGAACAGTAGAGAGATAGATTTGGGTGTCATCAGCATGGATATGTTATTGGAATCCATGGGAGTGTATTAACTGACCAAGGAAGGAGATGTAGATATAGAATAGAAGGGGTCCAGGGATAGAGTGCTTGGGGACCCGTACTATGCTTAGATAGGAGGAGAACCATGAAAGAGTAGAGTCCAAGGGAGTGAATTTTTTGAGGAAGAGCAGGTGGTCAACTGTATCAAGGGTAGCAATAATGACTAATAGTATGAACATGGCTTTTGGTTTTGGAGTTAGTAGTCATCAGTGAGTTTTAGAAGGGCAGTTTCTGTGAAGTGTAGGGATGTTGTAAAGGTTGTTATAAGTGAGGTAACGTCGCAGACGGTTGTAGACCACGTATTCTAGAGATTTAGAGAAAAGCAGGTGTAAGTTGATCAAACTGGTGGGGTCCACCAAGGGCTTTTTAAGTATGGGGGGTGACCAGTGCTAAAACAAAAAGAAGTTGTGGCTACAATTACAGTTTGATGTAAATCATTTTATTAAAGTGTGTTAGAGTATTATTAAACCCTTGTATGGAAAAAACATGTAGTGCTGCTAACCTTACCACGTGACATTCCACTTGTCAAAATTCCCTCTCCTTTGCCTCCAGTTTTCTGGTGGCTATGCTGCCTTGCACGGTCCCATGGAACCATACACACCCATGCGTGCACGCTCTCAACTGGGACTACAGCCGTATGTTCATCCTCTGCGGGTCTAGATACACACAGGCAGCCCTCAGTGTCTATAGGCCAAGTCTGCTCTGTAAACATCAGACTCTCCTTACCTACACAGCTCTGTCCTGCATGTGCAGGGGACGGCAGTTGACCGTACGGCAACTGCCAGACTTTAGGTGGCCTCTGACTGCTAACACCCAGAGACTGGAGTCCACCCCAGACTGAGTAAGTGAATCTAAATATCAGGGCAAAGATACATTTACCACTGCCAATACCAGTTGAACCAGTTCTCTTCGCAATGTATGTTGCAAGGTGGCTTGGTAATTAGCACTGGGGTCCCCAGTTCAAATCCCATTTAGGACACCATCTGCATGGAGCTTGTATGGGTTTCCTGCCACACTCAAAAGACATGCTGGTTGGTTAAATGGCACCTGACTAAACCAGTATGGGAGATAGCGACATTAGATTGTAAGCTTCTTGAGGGTAGGGATTGATGTCAATGAATCGTATGTAAAGTGCGGTGTAAATTGATGGCGTTATGTAAATTCCTGTAATAAATACCTAAGCCTGCACCCATATGTAATCATTTAAAGTGATTTGAGCATCTAAACTGCAGCAGGGCCGGATTTACTCTTTCTGCTGCCCCAAGGCCAGGTTCCTCAATGTGCCCCCTACCCGCCAAACCCCCCCCCCCCCCCAATGGAGAATGGCAGACCTGCAGGCTGCATACAAGTGATCTCAGCGGCGGCTTTTCCGCTGTACATTTAGCTCTGCTTGCCCAAAGCAGGGCTAAATGTAGAAAACAACTACCCACCTGGCACCCAGAGCTGCATTTCCCAGGTGTCGGGAGATAGGAATTCCACACCCCTGCTGCCCCCTTACTCCCTGCTGCCCAAATGCCGGGCCTTGGTTGGCCTTGTGGAAAATCCGGCCCTGAACTCCGGGTATGGTAATTGGCATAGTTGCCATAAACTAAAATGTAAACTGAATCTGAACTTCATTTCGATTTTAAAGCCCAATTTAAACCCTGGGTCCTCAGAACTGTAATACAACCAGTCTGCATACACAGTAAATAATATGAGGCTCCTTTTCTTCATTTTTCAGGGGAAAAGGACCGTTCTTTCGGGGGGATGGTCGCTGGAGGGAAGGTTCGTGCTTGAGGCGGCTCCTTGTGAGAGGGGGGGCTTCCTCGGCAATACGGCCTCCTGATGTGGACAGGTGCTTGCTTGGTCTGGCTGGGGGGTTCGGGAGGCGCAGAGGCCCGTGGTGCTGTGCCCCCTGGGGGTGGCGTCCCAAGGGTGCCAGAAAATCACTAGGGTGTGGGACCCCACAAGTGATTTCACTGTGCACTAGGTCACAGCACTTCAAGCTATTTCTGCACTACGCCTCTAGGGCAGGCCCTATTGCTAACCTGGGGCAATATTTTTGCACACCGGCCCTTAAGGCCTGTCAGCGTTGTTCACTGACACTTTATTTATGCACTATTCTTTGCACGTGTGCCACCGCTTTTGACTTCACAGAAAATGGAGGGTAGGGGTACCTTCGGGGCCCATTCCTGAAGTCGGGGAGGAGATTCTTTGACCCTCTATGGGGCCCCTTGTCTCCTCCCACTCGGGGGTCTCTCTTCGGGAGAGACACCCAACCCAGTACTCGGTGGACCTGTTTCGGCAGGTCCCAGAGGAGAGGGGTCCGCCGGCCTTCGGGTAGGTGGACCTAAGTCGTTCTTGTCCCTGTCAGGAGCCTTGCACCCCAGGGGATCAGGAAATTGCCGCCCTTCTCATCAGAGAGAACCGAAGCACCCTCAGTGCACTTTTTTTTAGTGTGCTGTGAGTTCACGGGTTACTTTTTTTGTTCACAGGGGTGAAGTTTGTCTTCGATGCACGCATCACAGACCTTAAAAAAAAAAAGATTGTCCCTGAACCACCCCTTTTATCCATTGGATTTCAATTCTTTCAATCATGGAGGCTCAGTATCACGTATGGGTGTTATTTAGTGCAGTCTGCATGCAAATACAGCCTGCCGAGCTACACCCAGTGCTCTAGATTGACATCCACCCATCAAGGCATTTTGATATTTGCATAACTCTTCCCAAGAGCCCGCCCACTGCTTGCATCCAGGCTGAGGGAGGGAGGGGAGCACTGAGCATGGTGCATTAATATTAATAATACTACGAATAATTATTATTAATAATATATTA